GCGGACCACAGGCCGCGTCGCGACCTCTACTCACGAGTAATTTTCAACAACACCAATTTGTTGGTCTGCGCAATGCAAGACCTCTAACGCTTTCACAACTAGGTGATTTTTCACGTGCCTGCCGCGTCGAACCAAGCTCTTCTATTAATTTCGAAAACAAAATGCGCTATTATGCTGCTATTATCACCCAAACAATATTGGATCTCAATGCAGAAACTGGTGAGACCTATGACGTCCCAAATCGTTGTCGATCGCTTCAGAGTTAGTGTGAACTTCGTCGCAAATAACCCTTGAGCAACACACCATTGTGACGGACAAGCGCGTACCATAGTGACCATTTGTGCTACAATGCCGTCTTAATACGTAACAACTGTGAAATTTGAGGAAAAGGTTGCTTCTCATGTCGCGGCACAATATCGAGCCGCACTGTCCCATACGGCAAAAATATTGCACCGCAGCGCCGAGTCGCATTGTCACCAATGTGTTGAAATAAATTCAGCAGTGACGATCTCACAGTAAATTGTTTTCGATTGACAGACTTTCATTCAGTATCCTACTGTAATGCCTCCACTTCTCAATGGGCATTGCTTCGCTCGTTCTACTCTTCCGTCGCATCTTTGGTGCTCGATCAAACAAATTCAGTGTCTGAGTGTCCAAGGAAAGGCAACCACTGGCAAGTCGTCGGATTTCAAGGTATAGCTTTCATAATAAATCACTAGAAATTTCTCACACCAGGTAAAACTACTGGAGAAAGAGATCTTTTTCTGTCAACGTCCGATCGTGACGTGCAGTAAACCGAGAAGCGAACTGCATTGTTACACTATGCAGGAAATACCGTAGTCTCGTTTGATGTCCTCTAAAAAATCGATACGTGTCGTGCTGATGCATTTACTTCGGCTCGGGAGGAAACTAACCGTAGTTATCTCCTTTACCCACCGACCATTTTCGACCATATGACGCACCGGTGCTCAAAAATGCGTTTCAGGCTCCGATCCAGCGACAGACTTTCGTGGCACGGGGATACTTGGCTTGATACAGTTGTACTGTATGGCAAAAGACTTACCCGAGGGTAAACTTGCTGAAATTGTCAACCTTTCGCGACAAGAACCTCATGTGAGATTTCATTTATCACCCTGCCCTTTTTCTCTTTTACAACCCTCAACTACATGTCTTCCAGGATTTCCCGTTGGCTGTCGTGGGAATAAATATTACAGCGATACTTATCACTAGGCTTCGACATGGTGAACTGCTCGAGTAAGTCATGACCATAACTGGCTATACATATGTCGCAATTAGGACAAATCTCCAATCTGTATGATTCAGATCAGCAATAACCGTTGGTGGATATCTGAAAGCTATGAATAAGCTCTATCAGTCGTCCATACTCATATTTTGTAAACAATGGCGAGAAGAAAAGTGTACAGTTAAAGATTGTCAACAAATATTAAATCGTGAGTCTACCGTAATCGCTTCCAAGTTTTATGGATGTATCGATGAAAATATCGTATTTCAGGAATCACTTTATTACTAAGAAATTCCCAACAGACATTACTGAAGTCGTCTTGAATCATGGTGCTCAATAAAAACATTATTACGTCTACCTTTGCTACAGTACACGAATATTATGTTAAATTCGATTTTTTTTCTACTTATTAGTTCAGCCGAGCTACCTCAAAAACTGCTAGAAAGTATGAGATGTTGCAGTGATTGATTCCGTTACCAGAAAACCCGCTACCGAATGCCAGAGAAGGAGCCCCAGATGAGGTCTAGAACAATCTATTCAGTGGGTAGGATGGAGTATTCCGCCCCTATCTTTCATGTGATTACGTGGGTGTCCCAAGAGGCCCGTCGCGCGGCGAAGGAAGCGCAGACGCGGCAAAGGACGAGTCGCAGCGCAGTGTAGCGGTTAAGCGTCAGGTTAAACATAAACAGAGTGTACCATACTACGTCTCATATTGCACAGCACGCGCTGCGACTCGTCCTTTGCCGCGTCTGCGTCTCTTGCCTTCGCCGCGCGACGGGCCTCTTGTGGGACACCCGATTGCGTGACTAGATTTTCCCTCGTTTTTCGCTGCAAAAAGCTTCTTCCATTGTACTGTGAACCCGATGTAAAGGAAGCGGAAATTTTGGGGCAAATGTCTTTACCCCTCCCAACAAGCTCTTTGAAGAAGTTATCATTGCTGAAGAGCTCAAAACTCGCATGTGCTGCTCAAAAACCCCTATGGAAAAAAATGTTCGAACGTGTGATTTTCTCGGAAAATTGATTTTGAAACAACGGTTTTGGTGCTCGTTTACAAGAATGATCAAATCCTATTATCTCTCACCAAAGTGCAATATAACCCAAAGTGCATCACAGAAATGAAAATGAAGTGAGTTATGCCCGCTTAAAGCCCAAAAACTCGCGATTTTCAAGTGTTCGGCAAAACCCCCAAAATGTTCGAACGTGTGATTTTCTCGAAAAGTGAACTTTGGTTGACCGTGGTTGCAGGGCTGTTGTGAACATTGGGCGAGAATTAAACAAACTTTTCAGAGCTCTGCTGTTGAAAAGGGTCATTTCATAAACTTCGGCCTCTGGGGAAGGGGGGTCGTATTTCCAAATTTTCCTTCGACGGTTCGCTTGACCCTGCCTGGGGCGTGACACCATCACATCGGGTCGCATAGTTTCTGTTCGATTTCCCTCTAAAATTTTTCATAAGAATTTAGAGCTTATAGGGCGAATTTCTTGCACTGTGCTTTACAAAGCGATTTGTAAAGTGTATAGTTGCTGCTAGGCTCAAGACGGTCTCCATTTCCGTCGTTAAATGGCTCTCATCGCTTTGTGGGTTGCCGCCGTCTACGACAGCGAAGGGCTGCTTCCTAGTCTTCAATTTTTTAATATTAGCGTCGGTATACAAAACATCATGGAATAACCAAATGAATAAATTTCATACTGGAAATTTGGTCCCAGGTGTACTTCTGATCAGAAATGGACCTGAGATTCCTGCAGCGAAAGTTTAGCGCCGCGAAAAACGGAAAACTCGTTCTCTGTCCTAGCGAATCACACCCCGGACAAACCGGGTATCACATTTATCCCTCGGATTCTAGGCCTTTTTTCGTCGTTTTTCATCCATCCCTACACCATATTTACCTTGATTTCTAATGAACTTCCTTTTATCGTGAACTCCGCCTTTAAGGCCTTACTTTGCCGCCTTGAGAATGAGGCCATTCCAAAGGCCCAACCTCCGTCCAAAAAAGTAGACTGCTTTTTCCCCAGGATCCCGTCCACTGGACCTCTTTTAGTTCTCCCTATTCCAAGAGTTCCATATACCTACCTCACTTGATCCCGCACTACAGGTTTTCACTAACAATTTTACGTAATTCTTCTGCTACACCGTGGAAATACACCTGCTCATATGGAACACTTTTCGAAAATATTGATTCTACATATTAAATGCAGTGACTTTGCAAAAAGTAAACGCTTACGAGTAACATCGTTTTGACAGAAATCTACAAGCATGGTGCTATAGCGAGCACATTCAAAAATGACAAGAAAAAATGACCATCATAACACAATTCTATCTACATAATCCATGAAAAAACAAGGTTAGACAATATAGCAACGTCAGTATGACATATGATGAGTTTACATATAGATCTCACAAGAACACGAATTAATCTCACTTGAAACGAAAGCGAGATTACCCGGTGAAAAGAGAGTAAGTCACAAGAAGAGTAAGACATACCCAAATTCGTGAAAGCTGTTAACACTTCTAACAATCATAAACCGTAATTGCAAACATGTTCGAGTTATTCAGTGGAGTTCTGGTTTACTTGAGTGGTAGCTGAAGGGTTAATCATTGGAGTTGGGTGGTTATCGTGGACATGGGATACTTTTGACATGCTCACTACCCACGGGTGGGCCAACACCCCACCAAGAGACAGCCTGAAAGGCAACTTTTGAGAACAAGCTTCATCTCCTAACAAATTGCAACTAACCTCATACACGGCTCCTTCACAATCAACTTTCGCATCAAATCGCTAGGTCCTTCTTTGACGATGGAAGGAATCTGAAAGCAGGAAGACATTTTAGCCTTGGTCTTAAAGAAGAACCTTGCTGCTAATGAAAAAAATACATGTGAAAGGGATTGAATGAAAAGAAAGAACTGCTAAAAAACACAAGTCGAATCTTTTGATACTGCTAAGCCTTTTAAACCAGCACTCAGCAAAGGAGAAGTGTCAAAATCTAAAAATCGGCTTCTCTATGACAGCCAGCAACTTCATTTCCATACTATTTATTTGAACTATTACATATTTTGATGATTTTTTTAATTTTTTGGTTTTATCACTGCCTAAGTTGTTTTTTCAACAACTGCTCGAGAACATCAGAAAATATAACAAGTTCGACATTTTCTCGTCATAGCAGCCCAAAGAATACCCGACTT